AAAAAAAAGGAATGTTACGTTCACATCAACGTTTCTTTACAACTTTATTATCAAAATACAAGAAGAGGATATAAGGTAATAGTCTGGAAGTGTCGTCATCATTTCAAATAGTTGATCGAATTTAACATGACGGAAATGAAAGACTAAAGGTGACGTTGACCTGATTGTAATTCGGATACGGAAAATCGCATATTATCTTAATATTTATTTCATACATGCGTTTCGATATATACCAAATTTTTACAAATGCATATTTTGCAAACAATTTACATCTTTAAAACCTACAGTATCATAGCATTACATTAATTAGTTTTTACAATGAAAATTGATATTGAAATAAGTGAAATAAGGATAAAGCAGGAAAACTGTATGGATTAGAATCAATACAACAAGAAAATTAACGAATGTACAAAAGGTGGAATTATCTTTTCTTCAGCAAAATGTCAACTCGAAATATTTCTCTTTCTTTTTCCATTTCATACTATAAAGGCAAAAAAAAAAAAAAAAAACTGTCTGCTACGTTCAAAATGCTAATTTTTACATTTTAATTTTCAGTTTTTGTATTTTTACAATTCATTTTTTGCTTTATGTTTTTTGATTTTCATTTATTTATATACAGTAATTTGAGTTAAAATTCCTCTCACATTCATGCAATCGAATCTAAATTTTACAGGTAGCAAAAATGTAGAGAGTATCGAGAAGAAAAAGGAAGGAGAAAAGCCGCGATCACAGTTAGCCGATAATGGTTAGAGGCTTTTTAAATGCTTTTATCATATTGCATATCCTTCCGGATAAGTTTATCTTTTTCGTTTTGGTTTATTTGTGTGAATTTATGTGAATACTTAGCTTTTGTCGAAAAATATCTATTAGAATGAAAAAGATAAATTTAGAAAAAAATTTTAAATAGCTGTCGAAAGCCTTAGTAGCATTTATTTAATCACTAAATTATTTCACTCTTTTTGCTTTTATCTTTCACTTTCCTTTTTCTCTCTTCTCACTCCTGCAATCGATTAACCTTTAGATGTGTATTTTACATTTTTCAAATTTTAAAATATCCATAACAAAGCTATAATGAAATATTTTGTTTGATAGCAGTGATGAAGTTTGCTCAATGGATATTACCAGATGATGATCGGATAACAGATGATAGAACAATGAAAATATTTAGTTCAATACAAGCTTTTACCGCATGCTTTGCTGGATTTGCGCATGGCGCTAATGACGTTGGGTAATTTCCATTTTTCTTTTTTTTTCTTTTTCCTTTTTCTTGTTTTGTTAAGATATTTAGGAAAATATGAAATTCAATCTAACATTTGAAAATTCAATTTGATGTCTTATAATAAATCTGTGATTGAAATAACCAAATTTTCACAATTCAGATATTAAAAAAAAAAAAAAAA